AGACGAGATAGCAGGGATAGCCGTCGGCATAATCTTCTCCCTCCTGCTCCTCATCCTAGCCGCCTTCCTCATCCACCGCCTCGTGAAGAAGAAGCAGGCCGCGGACCTCGTCCGCAGCCACCACGACCTCTCCATGTCCTCCTCCTCCGGCTCCGGCTCCGAGCCCGCGTCGGGATCCATCCCCGTCGCGGCGGGAAGCATCCTCTCAGACTCGACGCGCAACCGCCTCCTGCGCCCCGCGCCTGTGGCAGCAGCCCTGGCGAGTGACGGGAGCAGCGCTGGGTCGCTCGCTCGGGCGACGTGCGAATCGTCATCCGCCCTGCGCCGAAGCGTCGCACCCAGAGCTCGGGCCTCCTGCCCTCGGGCCAGACGTCGCGCGTCCCTTCGGGGTCGTCGCCCTCGGGCGGAGGCGGAGGCGGAGGCGGCATGAGGAGCCTGTGGCCCCGGCCGCCCGGGTATAGCGGGCAGACGTACAGCTTCTTCGTCGAGGACAGCGGGACCACGTCGCCGCTAGACGCGCAGCAGTGGAGCGTCGCGAGTGATCATGGGAGCAGGAGCGGAAGCAGGAGCGACGACCGACGAGGCGGAGCAGGTGGTGGTGGTGGTGGTGGTGGTGGTGGCGTGGGCGGGGAGTATTTAAGCGTTGGGAGGGCACTTTCACCTTGGAACGCGATATGATCCCCCCTCTCGCCCTGAGGTCGCCGTTCCTTGTTGCGCGTTTATACACTTTTCACTTCTTCGTTCGTTCACGGACATACATTCTCCCCCATTCTCCGTCCTCCTGGCTATCGTTCAGGAAGGTCCGCCTTACATTTTATTTCATTTCTCATGAACGCTACGGAGATACAGGATTGCGACTGGATACGGCAGGATACAGCGGGATATAGACAGTGCCGGCATGCACAGGCACAAAACCACTATTAGACCCCGGGAAAGAGGACTTGGGAGTATCGGAAATTGGCAGCTCTACACAAATCACGATCCCGAAGCGGGCGCAGGCGAGCTCGGTACTCCTAGAGGGAGCGCCCTGGGCGGAGGGACAAATGATGATTCGAGTGTATGACGCTTAGGCGGCCAGAAAGAAGCTATAGTTTTAATGAAATAGATACCCTCTAATTGATATTCATACCTTGCCAATCTCCGCCCTGGGCTAAGGTAGTTGGACAAGCATTGGTAGACTCTGTCGTAGCAGGGCCTATTGTGGCCGCCGGCTTGCGCTGCGACCTTGGGAAAGTTCAGTCTCGGAAATTACCTGGATTTCTCGAGGGTCCATGTCCATGCGGGAGGCGCTGGAGATCTGTTCCATGGGTGGTTCCGGGGAAGGCCACTTGATCGGCCGTGGATCACACGGAGCTCACGAAGTCGGTGCCCTTCCGGGGTTATCCGGGGTGTGCTTGGCGGTGGTGGGCATGAGAGAGGATGAAGGTGGCATGCTTTCCTGGTTGTTCTGCTTCTCGCCTGCGTCCAAGTTCAGTATAAAACACCTGAGTCCTCATGGCTCAGACTCAATATCTACACTTGCTTTTTTTTCGTGAGCTAAGCTCAAGATATCGGCCAACGGCTCCGAGGTCGGAGGAACTGAGCAATGCTTCTCTGTAGAACTCACCTATCAAGGGAGATGCGTTGCGTACGCGAAACCGACAAAAGGTATCAAGAGCAGGAACCCTGAGAGTCATAGCCACTGCAGGCGGCGCCAGGTCGTAGAAATACATGTATTAGAGGCCTCTCTATGTCTAGTTCCGAAGTAGGTGGAACGCCAGCCGGAGCCCCCTTTGTAACGCCTTCGCAATGCCCAGTCGAGTGAAGAT